TACGTCATCATGTGACGGCGGATGTCAGTGACGTAGGTCGACCGTGGTGAAACTACAGTTTAGTTTAGATGGACTACAAAAAGCGCATCTCAGATTCTCTGCCCCGTGCCTACTTACCATGTTGCTTCATGCAGGCTGTATAAACGTGGACAGCACAGTGAAAAATATGACTTAATTACCAACATCTGAATTGAATTAAAAAAGATAGATAGGCAGTCACAAAACTGAAACGCTGAAAATGGTTGCTCACATTCACCCTCCTGAATCATTGTGATTATTTATGACAAATGTTCAAGTGTATGCAAGAGAGGCAAATATGTTAGGCTTACAAATCTACTACTGTACATATCATTCTTAAGTTGCAAACATGTTGAATTAAAAACATCATCTAAATAAAAAGGTTTCATATCCCTTTTTCTTGAAACACAAACTTCTGTGTTAATATGCCAATCAATCATCATCTGTCATTTGCTTACAATAGTTTAAAAACGACCACGAAACTCAGTAAACACCTTGAAATGTTGACATGATTGTGCCTTGAAGTTATTTTTATTTTATTTCTTAATTGTGTTGGATTTTCCGTTATATCAGTGACAATGACAACACAGGAAAAAAAGAAAAGAACAAATAACAAGAGCATACATAGGGATGAAGGTGGGAGGCTTTATTCTAAAGTGTTTGGGTGAAATTCATTTGCATAATAGTCTAAAAAGGGCTGCCTCCCGCTAAAGAGGTGCTCCAGCCGCACACGTGCCCGTATGAGTGCAGTGATGTCAGCATCTGTGACTGAAGAAAAATTAATTAATGATATTGCTAAAAGCTGGAGATTCAACAACGCTCAAATAGTGACATGATTAATGCACACTGAGCATATCTTACACCACAATATTCACTTGAATTGGGTAATGTTACAACAGTAGCGTGACGTTTATAGTTCACATGGGTTTAACATGTTGTTGAGAGTTTGGAACATATAACGTGACGCATATGATTAAGTTCTGGCATGAGACGGGCAAAGCTTCATGTAACGGTGACTTACATGGTGATCTCCGTGACTTTTCAGTTATGTTGAGAGCCACTTGTTCTTTTTCTTTTCCTTTCGTCACTTCTTTCGTTCTTCCTCTTCTCCTACTTCTTCAGGTTTATTCGTTTGTCTCCGTGAACGGTTCGTCACTTTAAATATTGCTCCCGCAAAGCATTGTGGGATTAAATTATCTCCTTTCCTATCGCTTAGGAAGGTCCGATGTATCCTATGCTAAAGGAGATCTGAAAGGAAACACTGAACCTCCTTTCCTTAGTGTTCAGAGAATTCGAACAGCTCTTATCATGGCGGCTACTAAAATACTTCCGGGTCATTTCACTCAGCTAGGAACCTTCCTAAGCAAAAAAGACTTTCTGACCGCAACCTAGGTTTCAAACAACAGGCCGGTCTTCTTCTTCTTCTTCTTCTTCTTCTTCTTCTTCTTCTTCTTCTTCTTCTTCTTCTTCTTTTATTGCGGGTGGCAACCAACGGTAAGGTGCATTCTCTCCTGACTTCTCTCTTTAATGTGTCACGTTCATGTGAGTATTTAGGGCACCACAAAATAACATGCGCCACTGATTCTTCTTCTTGACATTGTTCACATAGCCCTGAGGGGTGTTTCCCTATCAGGTGCAGTGTCTTATTTAGCCCAGCATGTCCTCCCCTCAGTCTGGTTAAAACCCTCTCCTCTTTAGTGGTTCTACTGGTTGATCTCACTGTGCCCACTACTGACTGGACTGCATACAGGTGTCTACCTGTCATAGCTGTGTCCCATTCTTGCTGCCACTCTTTCATGACTTTATTCTTAATTATACTTTTTGCTTCTGATATGCTCAATGCAGTTTCCACGACCTCCTCCATTTTTAATGCTTCTTTAGCTAACGCATCTGCCAATTAATTTCCTGCAACTCCTCTGTGAGCCGGAACCCACGTTAATGTCACTGAAATGTTCATATTTTTAATCCTGTACAAACTTTCAAAAATTTTATATGGTATCCAGCCTACTGTCTGATATAGATGACTGCGAGGACATTAGCGCCGAACATGAATCGGAGCAAAGGACAACATTTCTGAATCGTGACTCTTGTACCCACTGTAATGCTGATACTATTGCCACCATCTCAACCGTGTAGACAGAGTCTCTTAACAGAGACTTGCATGGTTGGAACACTAAAAGCAAACCCAGTTCTCCCTGTATCAGGATCCTTAGATCCATCTGTGCAGAGCTTGTATCGTTTCAGACAAGTGATGTCGTTGATGACGTCCGAAGCCTCGCTGCCCGGCTGCTTGGCGCAACATTTTTTTTTGTTTTTTTTGTTTTCAAAACTTTATTCTGAACAAAGAATATACAAACAAGATGGGGGGTAAAACAACTAGGATACAATTGCAAACATCACAGATGGAGAAGACATATATAGAACTCTTCAAAGATATTAAACAATATGTTGAGGCACAGGGAAAAAAACAACAATAATATAAGTTTACTGGATAAAACAAAACAAAATAAAAAGGAACAATGAACAAAGGCACAACAGGCACATCAGGACTGAGAGATAGCTATGATCTTTTTTTTTTAGCTTTTTGTTAACTTGTTCAACCTTTTTCAGTGACTTAAAGTAGTTGGTAAAGGAATGGATGAACGCAGTGAAGGAGGAACTGCTTTCATTCCATTTACAAGAGTGTATATGGTATTTACCCTAAATAATCACAAGATTAATAATATCAGAAAAAATTAGCAAAAGAAGGTATGTTGTCGATTTTCAGGGAAAACCAGTTGTGAATTTCAGACCAAAATAAATTGACAAAGGGACAACTAAAAAATAAATGGTCTACAGATTCAACTTCAGTTGAACAAAAGATACAAGGATCCACATCAAACCGAAATCTTGTGTGTAGAAAATCGTTAGCAGGGTATATTGCTGTTATAATCTTTTACTTTAGGAGCAATAGGAAGTGAAAGATAAAAAGAAAAAGATTGCGTCCTTAAAGAGATCCCTTTATTGTCCCGTACAGAGCACGAATTAAAGTCTCCCCAATTTTTTTGTTTAAAGACCAAACTAACTGATTTGTCGTCACATTTTCTATCCAATAAATTAACCCCGCCAACTTTAAGAGACGGCAACAAAAATGAAATCGCAGAACACTGCATGCAGCTCTGTATGTCTGGGTGTGAGGTTTTGACAGAAGTGATAGAGAACACGAATATTACCCCTCCTGCTATTATTATATTGTATGACACTACAGCACAATACAGCGTTTGGCCAAATGACTGGTTTATACACACAGGATGCATTCACAAAACAATAACAGTTTATTAGGGGCCAAGCCCGACCCGAGGGGCCTCGGGGAACGTGTATGCAAGCAGACGTGTTTCCTAGGACCAGCGGTGCTGGGAATCCTATTGTTTTTGTAAAGATTTTTATAGTTTTTCTCTATTTTTATTCTTCCGTTGATAAAAGTGCAATTTGGAGGGTTGGTCCAGACCCCTGCATGTACCTCAGACGCAAAAAACTACATATGTCCGCCTGCAGGGGGCGCTATAACCAAGGCCAATGCGTTTTGGCCTATAACTCCCACACTGTATGTCGTACATTCAAAAACGTTATATCCCCAGGTTCCCTGAAACGAGCTGAATCACTTTGCAATTGGCCACGCCCACTTCCGCCTATAATTTTTCCCCCCCCGCAAAATCGCAAAAACTCCTCCTTGGGATTTTGTCCGATCTGCGTGAAACTTGGCACGTACACTCTTCACCTGGACCTGATCTAAAGTTATCAAAACAATTTTGTTCCGTCAAAAATTCCGCAAATTATTAATGAACAAATTTGTGTAGCTAGCTATAAAAATGTAAACTATTGCATATCTCAGTCAAACTTAATGCTATCAACACCAAACCTCAGATCCTTAGTTGGCATGACACTGTGAAGGTATGAGCCGGATTTGGCGAATGTTGGCCACTAGGAGGCGCTACAAATATGGGAAGTTTATATCTCTTAAACAGCTACATCCATTTCTACAAAATTCGGTCAGTATGATGTAGAGCCATTCCTGAGGCCATATGTTGAAGGTCGTCATGACTGGTCAATGTGGGCGTGATTTATTACAATAAATCCAAATTGCCACACATTCAGCCTTTCACGCTTCCGGCGCATTTCCCATTACAGCAAATGCCGCAGCTCGGACGTCAGCCCGCGTCCCTGCGCTCGCCCTGAGCCCAATGTGCTTTGGGGCCGACTTCCGTGGGCTCTGTGGGGCACGGGGGCCGAGTTGCGCGGGGAGGCTTGGCCCCTGTTCATAACTGCTTGCAGTTGTAGTTATACATGTATTTGATACAGTATAGTCATAATACACTATATTGATGAAAAGAAGTTATATGGTCAAATATGTTTATTATATTTTATTATTATTATTATTAATAGTCATTCCCAACAGCTGTTACTGACACAAAATACCGTGTATCACAGATTACATGGTGAAGTTTACAGCTGCCTGTTTTACACACTTTGGCCAGCAGGTGGTTTCGTGAGCACATGAAGCCTTTTCTGAACCCATCTGCTGGAAAGCTTCAATGCTTCATGAAGCTTCATCTGACCATCACAATTGATGGGAATTGATGGTTAAAAGATTGAAAGGCATCTCTGGTGTTTCAGAAATCTTTATGTCAGACTTTCACACGCTCATTAAGTGCATATATTTTAGGAAAGGACAGTAACCTTGAATGGTCTCACTCTGGGGAGACTTCTAAGAACAGAACGACCTACACCTGGAGGCCTCCTCGCCACCACACATTCAGACAGGAAGAACATCACGAAGGGAAATATTCACTGTGCTCTGTGTGTGCTGCAGGTTTATATGGATCTCAGCATCCACTCTGACAACCTGCTTGTGGAGCTGTAACTTTAAACAGCTGACAGTGTGTCATTATCACAGTGTGGACGTTTCCTGTCTCATCGTGTGTCTCTGTTTGTGGACTTCACAGCTCATCAGTGTGACGAGACACCTCTGACTTCAGGACGTCCGTCTGGAATCTGTAACCACTGAAGAAGAAGAATGAGTTCTCCAAAAAAGGTTCGGTCACTTTAACTGGAAATTCTCTCTGTTTGTGTTTGTTTTGTTATTTCAGGCTGCGTTTATCTGCTCTTTACTTTAGATATCAGCTTTATGATCTGAACAGGACAAGAAAATAGTTTCTGGTTTACTGGTTGGATACAAACCCAATAGAACAAACTGGAAGGCCAAAACAATGCAGCGTTAAATTGGTGACGGCACCGTCTGCAGTACAGAGCGTGTCATGGACAAAGTTGACAGCAAAGCAGCCACAGGAAAAGTAGACACACAAACATATAGTAATATTTTCAATATATTTTGTATTTAAAATAAGCACAAAAAGTAATGAAGTTTGTGTTTGGTAGATTCACATTCACATTCATATTTCTTTGTTGTAACGAAGCGTCTTGGCAGTAAATGTTATACTGTTGGAAAGCCTGTTTATTTCCCTTTTAAATGTTGCCACATTTGTAAGGAACATGTATTTGTGGGATGAGCAGCAGAGCTGAGTATGTGGGTTGCGCCCATGAAAAATTTGCCAAATCTTCTCTGCCAATGCCAAACAGCGTTTTTTTTTTTGCTGTTGCTATTGACTCTTGTTTTGAGCTTCTGATCTGAGGATAATCCTAAATATTTTGAAAATGTCTTCCTCACATTTTTTATTATATAATTAAAGTCTCCGCCAGTTATATAATAAAAAATGTGAGGATGGTGGTTCTACAGGCTGTGATACCTATAAGGTACAAACTAGAAACTTATTAAAACAGTTCATGGTGGATATAAACTTGGTTGAAGTATGGAGAAAACAGAACCCAGACAAAGTAGAATACTCTTGAAAAACTACTTGTCCCTCTCCTAAAAATGGATGATGAATCCTATCAAAATATAACTCTCCCACCTTCTTTAAGGCTGGCCATGATAACACTGATCCTGAGACCAGATAAGCCTCCCACAGAGTGTTCGTCATTTAGACCATTAAGTTTACTTGGATCTGATATAAAATTACTCTATAAAGTCCTAGCAAAGAGATTAGACCCTTATATCCCACATCTAGTTCACAATGATCAGAATGGTTTTGTGCAAAAACGCCAAGGGTTTCATAATGTAAGAAGAGTCCTAAACATAATTCATGAAAATTTTGATGCTAAAGACACAGCAGTACACTGGATGCTCGGCAGGCCTTTGATAGAATTGAATGGCTGTACTTATTTAATGTCCTGCCTAGATCTGGATTTGGAAATAACCTTCTGAAATGGATTAAGATTTTATATACAAACCTGATAGCCACTGTCCTAACAAATAGTATAGTTTCTACACCAATAATCTTCCAACGATCTACTCGCCAGGGATGCCCTTTGTCACCAATGTTATTCTTATTAGCTATAGAGCTGCTGGCTATGGCAGTAAGAACACAGACGGGAATGTCGGGCATCCAGATAGGACAACAGGAACAGAGAATATCCTTATATGCTGACGATGTGATTCTTTTTTTAACAAAACTATCTGTCAGCATCCCAAACTTAATACAACAGATTGAATTGTTTGGTCTGTTTTCGGTCGGTTATAACATCCATAACTCAAAATCATCAATATTATTTTTGAACAAAGAAGAAAGACCGCAACCAGTCATAAAAACTCCATTCATCAATGCAAAGGACACCTACCTTTGTGTCAAAATTACCCCTAAAATTGAAACAACTGTCACAACAAACTATGATCCACTTGTGGGTGAAGTGAAGGATACATTGGATCGATGGATGACCGTGCCTATATCAATGATTGGCCGTATAAATGTGATCAAAATCTCTTTCAATCACTCCCTCTTCCATGACCAAAATCATTCTTTGATAGACTTCATAGTATTTTTACTAAATTAATCTGGAACAACAAAAAATCCAGACTGAAATGGTACTACTGGTCTGCTCAGTTACACTCTGCAATGTTTTATTTTTTAATGGAGAATCCTTTTTAATGGAGAATCCTCCAGTAAATATTGAACAAACATCAGTACCAAGCCTCCCATTAAAACTGTATCTATACTCTGCATACCCAAGAAATCTGACAACAACAACAAAAAACCCTTTCCTCAGAAATACTATTGACATTTGGTATAAGGCACATCAACATATTGGGGATACCCCCTCCACTTCCCGCTTTTCCCCTGTATGGGGCAATACATACTTTAAGCCAGGACGGGCAGATGGTGGTTTAAAAATTTAGGCCAGACTAAGGTGCATGGAAAATGGAGGATCTTTATATGAATGGTAGTCTTCTTACTTTTGATCGACTGTGTCAGAAATACCATATTCCTAAAAAACACTTTTTGAAGTTACAATGTGTAATTTACGTGGATGTTTATTAGCAAATATCAACTATTGCTTTTATAAATATATATTTACTAAAGTGTAATGCAATTCACATACAAATGGAAGCTTTCTCATAGGCTTAGAATGATTTCTCTATATATACACAGGCAGGGCGCGGTCTGCTGGAGGCTGCTTTCTTGCTTCGTCATATTTGAATACAGTGGCCGAAAGGGATATACGCGCTTCGCCTTTCGTGTTTACCTAGAACTTGCCGTCACTGGAGACGGTTAAGGTGAAGATCAATCCGAGGCGCTTCTGTGTGAACCTGCTTTGTACTTTAATGATTCTGTCACACTTTAAATGGAGGAGCACACATATGTTTTGCCCCGTAAGAGGGAAACCACGCCACCAAATAAAAGAAAAAGATCAGATAAGCGAGGACGGGACAAAACGCAAGTGAATATCGGCGTTGCTTATTCCAGGTGGAAAGAACTCCTGAAGGAGAAGGATTTCACAAGGGATGCGGAGGTTGCCTGCTTTCTGCTAGACAGGTAATTCAATCTGATGTTGTAAAATCATTTTAGCTTCATGTTTGCAACTACTTTTCCCTCTTGTCTAAGTTTGAGTGATGGCTACGTTTACGTGCTAACGTTATCCTAGCCTTGGCTAACGTTGTCCCAGAGCTACAGCTAAATGGTTAGCCTAGCCTACAGCCTAATCTGTTGATTCCTCTCGCGCTGCTGCAAAGGCTGTCACCCTCTCCTCATCCTCTTCCCTCTGGGTAGCCGAGACACACCTCTTCGCCTGGCCGTTCCTGCACCGCTTCTACCCCCTCGCCCCCTTCCTCTCCCTGGTCTTCCTCACAATTAATAAAAATTGTGATCACACTGTTTATTCATGCTATTAGTCGTGAAGAATTGTTCCTGTTTCGTACTGCAACACTGCAACATCAGCAGACAGTTAAGGTTAAGGGAAGTTCAGTACTATATCTGTAAGAGGAAGTGGGAGAAACCGAGGGTCGGAGACAGGTCGGGAACATATCATCTGGAGGGCAGCGTGACAGGGTGTCACACCAACTGAAGACTGCTGTTATCTATGAAGACTGTACTTGGTAGATTGGGAAAGGAACTGAAACGGTTGAACATCAACGGCCACCTATGCTGTATAAAAACTTGCAGTTGATGCTCCTCATGGAGCCTTTTCTCTGTAACCTCATCTTGTGTGTTGCACTGTGAAACGCTCCTCTTGTACAAGAAAATAAATTCTGTTAAACTTTGATATTTCGGCTCCGGCCTCTGTTGTTTTAAAGGTCATTACGAAGTAATTCTTTTGACATCCTCCTCTCCCTCTTCCTCATCTCCCTGTGTCCTGTGGAAGAACACTCTGGAAATGCATATATTATAATCGCACCAACCACTGTGCTGTGACTATCACATAAAACGTTATTTTAGCGTTACTGTGCTAATGTTTGCTCGTGTTACCAAAACAATTAGAAATAAAACACTCCTAACATATATCTCACAGATAACCTGTATCTCACTGGTAAGCTATAACATATCGTAACATGGTTTAGATTCCCAAATAAATATTCACCTCGTCGCTAGATACTCCTGAAAAACTCTGCTGTCTGCGCAAGCCTTTTTGTCCTACGATGCCACCGTCACTTACCCGACGGGAGGGGTGAGTGAGTGAGCGCGAGTGAGCGCTGCAATCTAGAATTTGACCGCTGATGTCACTGTTACTCACCATTTTTACACACTGAGGCTTTAAGATATTTACAATTGAAGCATTTCATACTATCTAAAAATAAGAATTTAACATCTGAACCACCTTTATCACATCTTGAAAATCTCACGATTCTAAACCTGAAAGGGTGAAGTCAAGTTTCTTTATTTTATGGAGTTTTGATAACATATGATACAGAGTCTACTATAGAGAGGCTCAAGGCCTTAAAGCTAAAAACCAATCAATCAATGTGAGAATTAAATTACTGTAATACAAATGGTTACCCCAGTCAAGCTGAACCGTTGGTCCCCTGACATCCCAGGCACTTGTGTTAAATGTTTAGAAGGAAAGGGGACTGTGTTCCATTGTGTATGGGAATATCCAAAATTGCAGAAATACTGGAAAAGCAGTTGCTGGGACTATATCTGAGATTGTTGGAATGAAGGTACTTGACGTTGGACTCCTGCAGGCCAGGAGAATGATCGCTCTATCTTGGAGAAAAATGGATATACCTTCGAGAGGCATGTGGGCATTTTGTGTTGTATTTGAAAGACTGACTTATTTTTGAAAAAAAAAGAATTTGAAAAATATGAAAACCTTTATTGGAATTTCTTGGGCATCAGGGAACACAGTCACTATGAAGTAGCTGTGTGTAGAGTGTATTTTATTTTTATTTTTCTTTCTTTGAATATGTGAGTTATTGTGAATGTTTGTTTTGCTGTCTGTATGTGTGCAATTTGTGGTAAAAAAAAAATTCTTAAAAATTTTTTCATGTTGCTGTGAATCAATTGTAGACCACACCACGTACATTTTGCATGTGAATCAAAGGATGATTGTCAGACAAGGATTATGTTCTGTTGCCAGTAGGTGGCGCAGTGACTGTGCATGTTGATGTGTGTCTGGAGTCTTCTCAGACATGTGAAACTAGATATGAAGTCAAAATTTTATCTTCAGTCCTCCTCACTAACACTCTGTCTCTCTGTCTTTTGCTTTAGAAACAGAGAGTTGGAAATAAAACCAGATCTTACAGCTGTGACCAGTGTTTGAAAACGTTCCCTACGTCACAGCGATTAAAGAGTCACCAGAGAGTTCACAGTGGAGAGAGACCATACAGCTGTGACCAGTGTGAGAAAGCTTTCACCACTGCAGCACTCCTAAAACAACACCAGCGTATCCACTCTGAAGAGAAACCGTACAGCTGTGACCAGTGTGAGAAAAAGTTTTACACGATATACAGTTTGAAGAGTCATGAGAGAGTTCACTCTGGAGAGAGACCATACAGCTGTGACCAGTGTGAGAAGGCTTTTACAGCTCTCCATCATTTAAAACAACACCAGGCCTTCACACACTCTGAAGAGAGACCACACAGCTGTGACCAGTGTGAGAAAACATACAAAACAGTCGGAACTCTTCATGTTCATCAGAAAGTTCACACTGGAGAGAAACCATTTCAGTGTCAGGAGTGTGGCCACAAATTCGCTGGGAAGGCACGACTACAGCTTCATCATCAAAGATATCACAGTGAAGAGAGACCCCACCACTGTCAGCAGTGTGACAAAGGCTTCATCACAGCAGGGGAGCTAAAGATTCATCAGAGAGTTCACACTGGAGAGAAACCATACAGCTGTGAGCAGTGTGGGAAACGTTTTTCAAGTCCAAGTAACTATAGAACTCACCAACGCACTCACAGTGGAGAGAAACCCTTCACCTGTGACAAATGTGGGAAAGCCTTCTCTCGGTTATGTCACCTCAAAGCACACAGTGTCACACACTCCGGAGAGAAACCACACCACTGTGATGAATGTGGCAAAACTTTCACTCGATCAGAAACTCTTAAAATACACCTACGTATTCACACTGGTGAGAAACCGTACCACTGCAGACACTGTGAGAAAAGTTTCATTTCTGTAACAGACCGCAGGGTCCATGAACGGATCCACACTGGACTGAAACCATACAGCTGTGATGAGTGTGGGAAGAGATTCACTCAGCTGTGTGCTTACAACAATCACAGAAACATACACACTAAAGAGAAAAGCTACCCTTGTCTGCAGTGTGGGAAGGTCTTCAGGTCCGCTAGTTCCCTACTGTCTCATGAGCGTGTCCACTCTGGAGAGAAACCCTTTAAGTGCAAACACTGTGAGAAAACATTCCCAACATCACAACAGTGCTCAAGACATGAGCATGTCCACACTGGAGCAAAACCATACAGCTGTAAGCAATGTGGGCAAAGTTTTAGAAGTTCATCTTCACGGTTCAAACACAAGCTCATGCACGCTGGAGTCAAACCACATCAGTGTGAGCACTGTGACAAACGTTTCTATACAGCAAACAGACTTAGAGAACATGAGCGTGTCCACACTGGACACAAACCCTACTGTTGTGTCAAATGTAAGAAAAGCTTCACCTGGTCAGGTCAGCTGAAGACACACAAGTGTGTCTGAATGAGAAACCAGACCTGGACCCTCGTGATTCATCAGAGCACGCTGCTGTGTGCATATAGTGAGTCGTGGGAGGAAATGATGAAAAAAGATAAAAATAGAAATGGAGTTGCTTCTGAGGATAAGTTCATCCGAGTCACCAGCCTCAGAAATGGCAAGTTAACAGCAGCTCAGATCAGAGACCAGATGAATGCCACACAGAGTTCTAGCAGCAGACCCATCTCTAGAACAACTGTTAAGAGGAGACTGCGCCAATCAGGCCTTCATGGTCAAATAGCTGCTAGGAAACCACTGCTAAGGAGAGGCAACAAGCAGAAGAGATTTGTTTGGGCCAAGAAACACAAGGAATGGACATTAGACCAGTGGAAATCTGTGCTTTGGTCTGATGAGTCCAAATTTGAGATCTTTGGTTCCAACCGCCGTGTCTTTGTGAGACGCAGAAAAGGTGAACGGATGGATTCCACATGCCTGGTTCCCACTGTGAAGCATGGAGGAGGAGGTGTGATGGTGTGGGGGTGTTTTGCTGGTGACACTGTTGGGGATTTATTCAAAATTGAAGGCACACTGAACCAGCATGGCTACCACAGCATCCTGCAGCGACATGCCATCCCATCCGGTTTGCGTTTAGTTGGACCATCATTTATTTTTCAACAGGACAATGACCCCAAACACACCTCCAGGCTGTGTAAGGGCTATTTGACCAAGAAGGAGAGTGATGGAGTGCTGCGGCAGATGACCTGGCCTCCACAGTCACCGGACCTGAACCCAATCCAGATGGTTTGGGGTGAGCTGGACCGCAGAGTGAAGGCAAAGGGGCCAACAAGTGCTAAACACCTCTGGGAACTCCTTCAAGACTGTTGGAAAACCATTTCAGGTGACTACCTCTTGAAGCTCATGGAGAGAATGCCAAGAGTGTGCAAAGCAGTAATCAGAGCAAAGGGTGGCTATTTTGAAGAAACTAGAATATAAAACATGTTTTCAGTTATTTCACCTTTTTTTGTTAAGTACATAACTCCACATGTGTTCATTCATAGTTTTGATGCCTTCAGTGAGAATCTACAATGTAAATAGTCATGAAAATAAAGAAAACGCATTGAATGAGAAGGTGTGTCCAAACTTTTGGCCTGTACTGTACGTTACCCCAACTTCAACAGACGTACAGTGTAACTCCCGCTCACTTCCCGCACGTATTTCCCCGTGTCTTACAGTATAACTAGGCTGCTTCTTAGAGCGTACCTCCCGTTCACTTACATCCTACTTTGCCCAGACTTCCAGTGTAACTCCTGGTCATTTCCCATCTACTTTCTCCAGTCTTACAGCATAACTCGCGGCCACTATCCACATAATTCACAACAACCAAACAACCAAAAAACATTTACACATCCCTGACAAGCTTATAGACATTTTCTGTGTGCGGGCATGACGTGGTGTCCCAATTCTTAGGAGGATATTTCAAGCCCCTAGCCTTTGACACTCTGTTTGGAGGGGCAAGGGGTAGGGGTAGGGCTAAAAAAGAGAATTGGGATTCACCCTATCACAATAAGGGGGAGGCAGCGCACTCCACTGTGTTGTTATTGACGTTATGGAGCAGCCTCTGTCCTGCACCGTTAGCTCTGAGGAAAGCCCCGACACTGAGCAGGCTGGGTGTAGAGTTAAGGTGAAACAGCCTCAGCAGACAGTTACTGTCTTCCACTTACAGTTGTGTAATGCTGCAGTGTGAGTTATTGTTTGTTAACATCACTGCTGATTGCTGCTCCGCTCCCTTAACGTTAGTCTCTGGGTGATGATGGAGTCAGTATTCACAGTATACTTCACATACACCTCGTAAATGTAATTATCTAGAGGTTAAATTCAAACAAGTTTGCAACCGCTGCTGTTTGTCAACATGAATAACAAGTTAACTTTAGCAAATCTACACTGTAGGCTGTCCAGATGCTGCACTGCTCTCACAGTTGAGTCCGGCCACTTTTGTTCTGTCAATATTATTAATAAACATTTGGATAATTGATTACTGGGAATCGATACCAAATTGTCTTTGTCCGCATCGCGATGCATCTAAAAGGCAATTTTTTCCCCCATCCCTAATGTACATTATACTAAAACATTATACTAGCTTTGTGTTTGAGAGGAGACACCTGCACACCAACACAACTGGCCTGGACAGCCACAAAAAATGTTCCCAGGCTGAGATCAATGCCAACAAATGTCAGTTTATTTCGGACATCCATGCACAACACGACGAGCGCTCAAAGTGCAAAACAATAATAAAAAGTGATCAAAACAGCAGCAAATGTTTCAGTCCATCGTGTTCTGAATAAACTGACATTTTTTGGCATTGATCTCAGCCTGGGAACATTTTTTGTGTCTGTCTCGGCCAGTTGTGTTGGTGTGCAGATGTTTCCATTGTTGTAGACATGTTGTCCATTCTACTGATTCACCCAACTAAATAGGCGCAGTCTCACAGCAGTAACATTAACACGACCTTACATACCATACAGTTATCCTTTGTCAACATTTAAAACCATTTATTGTATTATTCATTCCTCTGCATCACTTTCCATCATTCTGTTGTTTATTTTGTTAGTTCTTTTTTTTGTGAAATCACGTATTGGATTGTTTTTTAGATTCATAACTTGCTTTTCGTTTAAAACTTTAAGTGCTAACAATGACACCTGTTCATGAACATGTTACACGTTGTATGACGTGACTTAATAAAGATTTAATAAAAAGTGAACGTGGATGTGACACATTGAGAGTTTGGAACTGTTTTGGTATTTTAATACTTGAGTAGAGTTGAAGAGAATCACGTCATAAAGAGATCAGACTGTGATCAGTGACGAAGGAGCAGTCGACCAACAGGAAGTGACAGTGTTGCCAAAGAAGAGTGTCGTCTGGCAGGAGTTCATAAATCAATTAGTCTCGATCGGATCTTAGTAAAACCTGTTTCTGTGGCTGCCTTCAGGTTTCCTTCTGCTGTTCAGTTTTCCGTGTGTGTGTGTGTGTGTGTGTGTGTGTGTGTGTTGGATTATGTAACTTTATAATGCAGCCGCTCTGGCGGGCAGAACACTGTAATATCATTTGTGTAACATCATCAAGATACTGCACTTGTTCTGTTTAAAGAATCAGATCCTGGTTCATTAAAGGTCAAAAACGGGTCCAGAGGAAACTTTATATTTAGAGAAGTGTGTGTGTGTGTGTGTGTGTGTGTGTGTGTGTGTGTGTATTCTGTGGGCTTGGATAAGTGTTAAAGAAACTGTCGAGTGTGTGTTGGCCTTCTGCCCGTGTGTACGCCTCCTTCCATGGAAACTCTTGCATTGAACACACCCACACAGCCTCACAGGAGGATTTGAATACTGAACGACAGCACAGAAGTAAAAGAGAGAGACGGAGGGGTGATGATCAGACGGATGAACACACAGACGGCCGGTGGAGAGATGGAGCTGTGACAGGATGAGCGGTGAGTGACAACTTTTAAAGTAAAACAGGGCGAGATGAGATCTGAAGATTTGTGACCTTCGGGCTCAGATTAGTTCCTGGACAGTCTGAAATGACACTCTGAGAATTCCCTTGATGGTGTTCAGTGCAGTTTCTTCTACACTCAGCTTTAGAGGTGTTGGTGTTCTGGCGTCATGAGGACTGTGACTGATGCACCAACTGCTGTTTCAGTTGACTGGCTTTAAAGAAATTTCTTGATTCTAAACTTCATAGAAAACCTGATTTAAGTATTTCTGACGCCTTGTTTGTCATGCATTTCAACGTCCAGTGAAAACCATAAATTTCCATATTTAGTGATTTTTTTCACATAAACTGTGTTCATGTAAGAAACACTGAGGAACTGAAGAGAAATGAGAATGAAAACTCTAAATAATGACCCACAATCCTCTGCACAGCGGACGATACGACAGCTGACAGCTGATTGACAGCACGTTTAAGTATTTTGATGGTCAAATAGTCCAGTAATAACAGGAATATTGATTATTTAAGTGAACAAAATATTCATAAATACAAACAACAAAAGCACAGAGCTGTACCTGATTCAAAAACTCATTTGTGCCGGTCTCAAGTCAGATTTTGAATAATGTCTCTTTTGGAGCTCTGTTGTGTGCTGTACATGACCGGCTGATGTGCAGCACTGCTGTGTGCACTATGTGTTTGTTTATGGTGCATGCTGGTCATTCTTTCTGGACTAGTACTGTAAGGCAGCAACACGAAAGCTCCTGAGTCCAGGTTGAATTTACCCACGAGGACAGTAAAGGATCGTATCGTATAAAAATAACACTGATAATGGTGTTTTGTTTTGTCTCCCAGATAACAGCTGTGTGCGCCAGAGGGTCAAAGTTCAGGTTGTGATGTCATGAGTAGTGTGTCCTGATTGTGCGCAGACTGCAAACAACAGTACAAACTTTTTAGGGCAGCTGCAGTATCGACTAGAAGAAAAAATAAGTATGTGAAACGCATCCCTCAAAGAAACACCAAATTACAACAAAGACACAAAACAACTGCAAAGAGACATCAAATGACCACAAAGAGACACAAAACAACTACAAAGGGACACAAAAGTGCAGACACAAAACGACCACAAAGAGACACAAAACAACTACAAAGACACAAAACAGCTGCAAAGACACAAAATGACCACAAAGAGACACAAAACAACTACAAAGGGACACAAAACAAGTACAAAGAGACACAAAACAACTACAAAGAGACACAAAACAACTACAAAAAAACAAAACGACCACAAAGAGACACAAAACAACTACAAAGACACAAAACAACCACAAAGAGACACAAAACAACCACAAAGAGACACAAAACGACCACAAAGAGACACAAAACAACTACAAAGACACAAAACAGCTGCAAAGACACAAAATGACCACAAAGAGACACAAAACAACTACAAAGGGACACAAAACAAGTACAAAGAGACACAAAACAAGTGCAAAGAGACACAAAACAATTACAAAGAGACACAAAACAGCTGCAAAGAGACACAAATCAACCACGATAGAAACAAAAACAACTGCAAAGAGACACAAAACAACCACAGACAAAAGAAACAACCGCAAAGAGAGACAAAATAACTAGAAAGAAAAAAAAACACAAAACAGCTGATAGATCATCAGAAAGGTGAAAACAGACCTGTTTTTATTTTCCCTGAAAATCAGGTGTTTCACAGAGCTCAGTTTTCTTTGCGTCTTATTTACTTGGTCCTCTGTGCTGCTGGATTTTCTGTTCATAGATGGTCACTGGGGTCAAACATTAGAGTAAACTGTTTTTCAGCAGCAGCTACACTATAAACACAAATCAGCGAGGAGGTCAAAGGTCAAAGCAGTTAGTGTTTGGACATGCTGGGAGAAATTAGTGTGGGAATTTCACATAAACATTGTTCACAGTCTGCTGAGTGGAGAACTCTTCATTTCTTGAGTTTGACATGTTGACTGTATTCAGTCCTCAGCTATCAGTCAGTCGACACAAAAACTGTCACACAGGTTTTAAGGAGCACACAACAACAAACTGGTGTAAAAAAGTAAAGTAAGTGTGACGGTCAGTTAATCTAATTTGAGCCATATTATGATCTTTGACATGAAACCTTCTCAGTTTACTGACATCAAACTTTTTATTTCCTTTGAACTCATGTTAACAGATACATCTGCCCCTCTTTAACAGAGCGCTGCATGAGGTCTGATATTAGAGCACGCTCAGTACATCAGATATTATATTTAATTAGAGAAGCACGCAGTCAAACTTTGAATATGACTTCAGATTTATATTCAGCAGGTGTTTGGTTCATGAAGGCAGCTTTGTTTAAACAGGCTGACTTGTTTGGCCTGCTTTACATACCAGAAACACGCTCTCACACGCAAACATGCAGACCATTTCCTGGTGTTGTGGTTTTGGCCAGTGGTGTGTTCAGGTACACTTAGAAAGTAACAGTTTGTTTCAGTCTGCAGAGTCAGACTGAGCTTTTCTGTTGTGTCACCAAACCTCCCCTGGAGTCATAAGTTATTAAGAAATCTGTATCACGTTTATTTCAGAGTCAGAAACTGATGTTTATTAAAAAATATTCAGTGCAAAAACTCTGTGTGTGTTTTGTTGAAGGCCTGCTAACCAATCCCGTTGGCAACAACTCCTCGGTGCTGGCGGCATGTTTCCACAACGACGATGCTTTCAAGTACCGTGCCTACACCTTCACCTACCTACTGCTGTTTCCTGTGGCATTCCTCTGCAACATCGGAGCGCTGGTCGTCTTCTTCCTGCAGAGCAGCCGCAGGTAACATGGGTCTCTATCTCTGTGAGGCCTCTCCATTGACTCCCATTCATTCTCAGTCATTATCATTTGAACACACAAACATACACGTATGTCTGTCCTTTTGATGTCTCTCCATTGACTTCCATTTATTCTCAACCTTGAAGGAAGAGAGTACCGAGCCGCTGCATACATGCGTGCCGCCATCCATCATCATCAAAACACAGACACACAAACGTGTATCTCTATCTTTGTGAGGATTCTCCACTGACTTCCATTTATTCTCAACCTTCATCATCTGAACGTACCAACAAACATCTATGTCTATCATTTTGATGTCTCCCCACTGACCTCCATTAATTATCAGCCGTCATTATCCGAACACACAAACAAACATGCATCTCTGTTTTTGTGAGGCCTTTCTATTGACTTCCATTCATTATATGCCTTCACCATCGGAACACACAAACGTGTATCTCTATCTTTGTGAGGACTCTCCGTTGACTTCCGTTCATTCTCAGTCTTTATCATCTGTACACACAAACCTGTATCTCTGTCTTTGTGAGGCCTTTCTGTTGACTATCATTCATTATATGCCTTCACCATCTAAACACACACAAACCTGTATCTCTCTCTTTGTGAGGACTCTCCATTGACTTCCATTCATTCTCAGCCTTCATCGCCTGAACACACAAACACATGTCTCTGTCTTAATGAGGCCTTTCTATTGACTTCCATCCATTCTCAGCCTTCATCATCAAAACACACACGCGCAAACCTGTATGTCTATCTCTGGGAGGATTCTCCAATGACTTCCATTCATTGTCAACCTTCATCATCTGAACACACAAATGTGTATGTCTATCATTTTGATGTCTCTCCATTTACTTCCATTCACTATTACCCTTCATCATCAGGACACACAAATAAACATGTATGTCTATCTTTGTGAGGCCTTTCTATTGACTTCCATTCATTATATGCCTTCACCATCGGAACACACACAAACGTGTATCTGTCTTTGTGAGGCCTTTTTGTTGACTTCCATTCATTCTCAGTCTTCATCACTTGGACACACAAATGTGTATGTCTATCATTTTGATGTCTCTTCATTTACTTTCATTCACTATTAGCCTTCATCATCAGGACACACAGAAAAAAACATGTATGTCTATCTTTGTGAGGACTCTCTATTGACTGCCATTCATTATATGCCTTCACCATCTGAACAAACAAACATGTATGTCTTTAAGAGGCTGCGGCGCGTTCATTTTTTAAGCTAGCACAAATGTAGTGGTATTTTGTGAAACTAGACAACCTAAGGCATCCATTGGTACCGACCATGTCACTTGTCGGGAAGCGGGCTAAATGACACTTCAAAGTTTGGCTAAAAAAAAATTGGAAAGGCAACAGCTGCCATTGACACTGTGTCATGGAATGTCTGAAGAATGTCTGTATTGTACTGTTGAGAAATGAGAAATATTCAGGTGGTGCTCTCCATATCTGTTCATCTCAGTGGATTGAAGAAGAACCTGTTTTTTGTTTCCATTTTTAGACGTCAGCTGACGTCACATCTAATATGCCACACAGCAGCTTTTACTGTTCAACAGAGATGTTATCGATCAGCACGAAGACTGATAGGAGCATATTTTAGAGTATCTGTAATCTAAAGATGATCAGATGTTGATGTTCAGTATCAAAGGCGTCAGACTGAGACGTCCCCACTGTTCAGACACGGTCCTGAGCTCTGACCTCGCCATCACATCAGGATTTCAAACTGCTGATTGTTGTTTACAATCTGACCGTTAAGTTCATTTGCATACAGGTCAGGCACACGGGGATATGAATAACACGCCTATGTTTTATGCAAACCTCATATCGTAACACGATCCAAGATCCTCAGGCTGAAATAAAAAAAGACAGTAAAGATGTTTAGAGTTCATGTCCTCTGCAGATGCTCTGACATCAACATCTGTCAGACACAGCTCACTGTGTCATTAAGTCACCTTTAAACACTCGGAGTGACTGTTAGCAGGTGACGCTCTGCAGTGCGCTGATGATGGGCGGAGCTAAGCTATTTTAAAACAGCAGAAGTCATGATGACTCAGCTGAAATATTTTCACCAACAGCTGGGCTCCTTAATACCTTTGTTAGTCGCTAACATTATGCTACCTTTTGTAAGGGCAGGAGTAAACACACCTGGTAACAATCAGATCAATGGTTACCATTCTGGCATTTTTTGATATTGCAGGGAGCCTAGCATGCTCGCCACTGCCAACCAGTGGCGCACGTTTGGTCATGGAATGAGTCTATTCTAAAACTCGGTGAATACACAGTGCTATTTAGTGCTATTTTATTATTTTATCCACTTTGCTTCAACTGATCACCACCAAAATTTCATCCAAATCCGTTCATAACTTTTTAAGTTATTTTGCAGACGCACAAACAGACAAACAGACCAACGCTGGCGAAAGCATAACCTCCTTGGCGGAGGTAAAAATGCTGTGATTAAGACAGGGCCGTAAACACTGTGCAACGGTAATGACATCAGCATGTTCAGACACAATTTTTTTTTTTTTTATACTTCTTGGAAATCATTATATTTGAGTTCTCCCCAGTGACGCTTCCCAGCTCTTCCTGGGGGACCCTGAGGCGTTCCCAGGCCAGATGAGATATTTAATCCCTCCAGTGTGTTCTCTTTTAACATGAAGGAGCAGCGGCTCTACTCCGAGCTCCCTCCGGATGTCTGTCTCCTCCCCCTATCTCTAAGGCTGAGCCCAGACACCCTACAGAGGAAACTCATTTCAGACGCTTGTATCTGTGACCTCATTCTTTCAGTCACTACCCAGAGCTCATGACCATTGGTGAGGGTTGGGACTAAGATGGACCAGGAAATCATTTCATCGCTGCAGATGCTGCGCCAAACCGCCGCTCCATCTCACCCTTCATTCTACCCTCATATTTATCGCGCTACATTGAGGCAAAGTCCTGAAATGTGTCTCTGGATACATCACAGTAATGAATATAAAATACTAATTTGGTCCCAAACAATGAACTGTGCCACACAGCAGACACAGTGAGCCTTCAGATAAAAGTCCATTATTAAAGTTTTATGTCTCTAAAATCTTCACAGACAGCTTAGGTTGACTTTGTGAGACTCACCGGGCTGTGGCTCAGGAGGTCGAGCGGGTCGTCCACTAATCAGAAGATCAGACGTTTGAGCCTCGGCTCCTCCTGTCCGCATGTGGAACAATCATTAACGCAAACCTTGTGGTTAAACATTCATAAATGCTCATTTAAAGCTGTTAGTAATGTTGAGGTGTAATGTTGCAATGTTTTGCAGCTCCAGGCAGATTGTCTGGGAGCTGTTTGGGCCCCGAATGTCTCTTTTGATAGTGAAGGTTGCCGACCCCTGACCTGACCTATGACATCACACTTTCCTCTAGATTTTGGATTAGGGAGAGAGTTCTTCATGTTAACTGATATTTTTGGACTCTGTGAGAACATAGGAATAACATGTATGAATTGTACGAATGACTCACAGTCCACACAGATCCGCATGTTCAGCATGTGACTCCAGGTGAGAGTACAGCTGTCAACACATTGGTCACATGATCGCAGCCTTACAATGAGACATGTATGAATTTGGGCACACTGCTTATTGTAGGCAAACATATGAAAATGTGGTGACAGTCTGAACTGGGTGAAGTTCCCTTTTTTAAAGCCGCCGTCTGTGAGCTGTGTAATGTAGAAATGTTTCAATAAATAACATGTCAGATAAATATCTGCGTCTCCGTGACAACAGACAGGACGTGACCCTGAGTTAAGCCTTCATGTGAGAGAGGACTGTAAATATTTGCATTGAGCTGCAGGAGCAGGTTTCTGTTTCCTGCCGCACTTCATAATAAAGCGTGTTCTATTACCGAGGTTAATTTGCCTGCCGACAGTCTGCTGCTGTAAATATTTACACCTCTCACCTGCTGCTTTAACCTTTGACCTCTGGAGAGCATCGTTTACGCTCGTCCACCTTTAGATCCACAGAAATATGTACACAACAAATAACTAAACAGACTCTTCCTGTCACAGTTCATATTAGAGTTCATGTTTTACTTCGACTCTCTGTCTCTGCAGAAACTCCGCCTCCTGCGTGGTCATGATGAACCTCGCCATATCAGACGGCAGCTTCTCCCTCACCCTCCCGCTGCGATTGGCTTATTACTTCAAGGGCGGGGTGTGGCCCTTCCCTGATTGGCTGTGTCGACTGTGCGTCTATGGCTTCTACGTCAACCTGTACACAAGGTAACACACACATGCACACACACACACATGCACACACACTCAGTAACACAACAAAATGACCTTACAATCACTCTTCCTCTCTCAGCATCCTCTTCCTCACACTTCTGAGCGTGCTACGTTGGCTCGCCGTGGCCCATCCCCTTCGTCACCGCACTCTGGCCACGCCCACTCGGACATTACTGGTGTGTCTGGGAGTCTGGCTGTTTGTGGGCGTATCCTCCGCCCCCTTCCTGTCCAATGGGGTGAGGAACAGGTGAGAGTGTGTGAGCACCGTTTTGCTGCGGTTTCCAAATGAAACAACTAAGTTTTTGTTCTCATTCTTCGGTACGTGACGTATAAAAGAGGCGTGACATCAGCTGTGTCGCACGCCGTGTTTAATGGATGTTGCTTTAAAGTGACGGCTCCGCAGCACAGATGTCTCCTTTTGTTAAATGCCTGTTTCCTCAGCTCCTCTTTCCTCGTCTCCTCCACTCGCAGAGCAGAGGGGAGGTTGTTTAACACACCACCATGTCGTTGTGTAAAAATGCTTCCCTACATTTTGTCGCGGCTCAAAGCGCCCTGGTTTATTTAAATTCATCTCACAAGTGTTTTAATCTCTTTAAAATATATATATATATATATATTATTTGTTTAGATTTTTGTGATTTATTTGTTGAAATTTTAAAAGGACATAAATTAGGAATATCTTTTAATCCTAAGTGATTTTTTTTTACTTTATCTCCTTTTCAAAAATTTTCTTTATGTTTTTTGTTATGATTTTGTGTGATTTGTTACAAGTGTCGAACATCTTTCAGTTTTTTTGATATCTCCAATTTAATTTCTTGTTTTTTTAATCTTTTTTCCTTTTTTTAGTTTAAAATTATTAAGTTATGAAATATATATATATATAATAATAATACAAGATCTTTTTAAATTTTTCGCCCTTTTGCAACTTTGTAGCTATCTTATTTATATAGTTTATTAATATTTTTTACTTAATCTCCATGTTAATTCTCCTTTAATTTTATCTCCTATTTAATTTTTTTATTGATCTTTTTAAAGTTATTAATTTCTTAAGAAATATTTTCTTAAGTTAAAAAGTTATAGAATATAACTATAATATGTTTTGAAATTTATTACCTTTTTTTAAACTTTAGCATTTTAAATTTGTGACTTTTTATCGAATAATTGAATTTAGCTATAATTTTTTTTACTTTTTTTTTTACTTTGTCTTTCTTCTAAAATACCTTTTGCCCTTTTTTTTATTTATTCTTATCCCACATAGGTAGACTCTACATTTAAAACAAAGGTAAATTTAAAAAAACAACTTTATTATTATTTTTTGTAATAATTTTTGATTAATTACAAATTAAAATGAATTTAAAAATAATAATAATAACTTTTTCAGGAGAGTCAGTCTGATTTTAAAAAAACAACAGTGCAGTTAAAGAGCTGCTGGGTGAAAATCCGTCACAGGACCTGCAGTCAGTTTGTTTTCATAGAAACAAAGTGGAGCGATGGCCGTCGGGAGGGAAACCTAAACACTGATGGGAGGTTGGAGGATGACTTCATGACTGAAACATAACAGACAGAAGAGCAGGATTATGTTTACTGGAGTACATTTTAATTGTCTGACGAGCTAAAAAAGATCTTTAAAACCGTGGAGAGCGTTTGCTTCATTAGACAGATGTTTCCTGCAGTTTGATTTTGTGTATCTAAAGTGAGGGATTTCAGCTGCTGCTGTCCTCACAGTGACTGTAGACACACTGCTGTCATTCAGGAATATGAATATAACAGGAGAAACCTGTTTTTAGGAATAGTTTTTATTTATTTATTTATTTAAAGAAGTCTTCATATAAAAAACCTTCCTCACACATTTTTTTTCCCAAAAGCCAGACAGAAATAAAACAGTAATAAAACATGTTCCAGGTTGTTGTGACCCCACAGAGAGTTAACTCCATCTCTGCAGCTCTGCTGAGCCTCTTTCGCTTCTCTTAGCTCAGGACAAAGATTTTGCTGCACAACAACATCTAATGTTCATTTTATCTTTAAAGTTCACGATCCCATCTTTGCTCCCCAGAGAATCAAGCCTTTATATTTTATTGTCTTCCTTCAGTGCCGCCCTCGGGACAAACTTTACCTTTTAGCTCTTTATCTCAGGATAGATAACTCCTCAGGATACTGTTTGTTCTGTCCTACATTTCACAATGGATTTATATTTGTGTGTCAGCTCTACACATGTGGCCTACGCTGTTGTGAGCATTTATACTTGTGCAGTGGAGTCTGTGTCACTCTGCAGTTACACCTCCTAAACACTAGTTGGTGGTAGAGTTTCTGTGAAGTGCTGTAAAGTTTAGTTGATTCAAAACACACATAAAATGTACATTAAACACAAATCAGCTTCACTATAACTCGCAGCATTCACAGACAAACACTTGTCTTTATCTGGACACATTTTCCCCACAAATACAACATGCTAACGTTATTAGCACAAGTCTATGGCATTTTACATTGTATGAATTAGCCTAGCAGCTAGCGATCTTCTCCTCTGCTCATATGAAGCCAGGGACAACAGCAGCATGTAACACAGGTAATGTTACAAAATTCAGCTCCGTTACAGCTCACAAGGTTCACTGACAAAACAACTTATATTAAACATTTTTCCCTCACATATTTAACATGCTAACGTTATTAGCATTTTCTCAACTCGTATACACACAAGACTTAAAATGCTATGGTGTAGGGCATGTGTCTATGTAGAGCTTATACTGTAGGTACAGTGTTAATCGGAAGCGGAAGTATAAATCCCACTTTGCGGTTGTGGCTGTAATGACCTCTGCAGCCTGTAGGGGTCACCAGCAGCACTTTGGTCTAATAGGATCTAAATTGAAGGAATCATGAATACAGCACAATGTTTTCGGTGCTGAGTGATGAAGGGACAATGTGTTACGTCTGAAATCTGTGGTTAATGTGTTTGCTCGTCTTTCCTCTGGTTCTCTCTCTCAGGGCAGGGTTTCCTCGTTGCTTTGAGCCATCCAGCCCCTCCTCTTGGGGGCGTGTCCTGATCTTAAACTACGTGGCGGTGGTTCTTGGCTTCCTCCTCCCTTTCCTCACCATCATCTTTTGCTACAGCAGAATCATCCGGCGCCTGATGGCCCCCTTCAGCACCCAAGGCAGCAGTCAGTCCAACAACACTCGCCACCGCAACCGACGGCGCTCAGTTCACCTGGTCACCATGGTGACGGTGACCTTCCTATTTTGCTTTTTGCCCTATCACGTGATACGATCTCTGCACCTGCATGCTGTCTGTGAGCACTGGAACTGTGCTGTCACAGTGGCGCTGCAGCGGGTAGTGGTGGTGACGCTGTGTCTGGCGGCGTCCAACAGCGTGGTAAACCCACTGCTGTATTACTACTCCACCAGGACGTTCAGAGACAACATGAGGGACGCTCAGTCCTCTCTGTTGTCCAGCAGGGGGACGTCCATGAGGCAGGGACTGTCTTTGATGAGGAGAAGGAACACCACCTGAGAGACTTGGATCAGAGTCGACGCTGCAGCTAAAATTAACTCCTTCCTTATTTCCTAAAATATTCTGCTTCCTGCTGAAAACACCACGCACATTTTATTTATTTCAGTGAAAACAAATATTTATAGCATTCGTCTGAGAAAAAGGAGTCGCTTTTCTGCCTAATGTGGACGAAAAGAATTTGGTGAAAGTATGAGACAGAAGTCACCGGCAGCTCTGCAGACAGTAGTCATTCAGGAGGAGGGTTCAGAGGTCACTGAGGTGTGGTTGCGGAGTCCAGGGGTCGTTGAGAAGAGTCCAGGTGTTGTTGAGGAGTCCAGGGGTCATAGAAGAAAGTCCGGGGGTCGTTGAAGTGAGTTTAGAGGTCACTGAGGAGAGTTCATGGGTCACTGACGAGTCTGGGGATCATTGAGGAGAGTTCAGGGGTGGTTGAGGAGTCTGGGATTTTTAAGGAATCCAGGGGTTATTTAGGAAAGTCCAGGGGTCATAGAGTAGAGTCCGGGGGTCGTTGAAGAGAGTTCAGAGGTCATTGAGCAAAGTTCATGGGTCATTGAGGAGTCTGGTGGTCGTTGAGGAGAGTTCAGAGGACATTGAGGAGTTCAGGGGTCATTGAGGACAGTTCAGGGGACATTGGGGAGAGTCCAGGTGTTCTTGAGGAGTCTGGGATTTGTTGAGGAGTCTAGGGGTTATTGAGGAGTCCGGGAGTCGCTGAGGAGTTCAAGGTTCGTTGAGGAGTTCAGAGGTCGTTGAGAAGATCCAGAGGTTGTTGAGCAGTCCAGGTTACTGGGGAGGGTCCAGGGACTATTGAGGTAATTGAGGAGAGTCGGGGAGTTGTTAAGGAGTCCAGATATTATAGATATTGTTGACGACGGGGTTCCTGTTATATGAAAACTCTGAGCAACAGCTAACACAGGCACACAGGAGAAGGTGTTTCCAGATTTCTTTCACTGCAGTTAATGTGTAGCCTACAAACTGTGAGCAGAGTTAAAAATCTCCCAGACAGATTTGTCTGCTGTCCCTGTTGAGTAACAGCGCCCTCTGCAGGCTTTGCACTAAAAAGCACCCTGTCAGGTCTCATTTGATACAACTGACTGAAAGTTCACTCTTAGTCCTGACAGATTCTGTATTTTTATCTTCATGTTCAGACTCAGACCAACAGTGCATGTGTCTGCCAGCAGGAATTGTGTCATACACTGATTTTTTTTTTAATTGATATCATATATTAGTGTTTATGAAGGTTTCTGTCGGACTAACGCACTGTTGGATTGAGTCTGCACATGAGCTTTGTGTATGTGTGTGTGGCTGTGTGTGTGTGTGGCTGTGTGTGTGTGTGGCTGTGTGTGTGTGTGGCTGTAAATTATTGTTTGAAGTGTAAACATGTTTCCAGTGCAGAATCCTAGTGTTTATGTGGAAATAAATATCAGTCATGTAGGCAGGAAATATTTCCTACTCTTGTTTCATAGTCATACTTCTGTTTGTGTGTTCAGTGTTTCCACAGAAATGTCATGTTTTCATTTCTTTGATGTGTTTCTTTAGAAGGAGCTAAAGAGGAAATGTATTTTCCAAATGGGAAAACATCGGCCGCAGATGCTTAGCAACTCAAATGTCAAATAACAGTCACAGTTCAAAGGAAAATGACTGTTGCTCCACTGATCATAGATCTGTTACGACATCAGGCTGACATTAGACGCTGACGTCCCCCGACGCTGCCAAGCAGTTACACTATAACATCGACCAGCCACATGTCACGCCTATGTGAAAAGACGGCTTTTTTCGTCAGTGTCTGACTACCCAAGTGCTGGATTTCGAGTTCGGACTGAGACCAGGTTCCCCAGTTGCCAGTAGAAATGCTGGTTTTGTACAATTCTACAAACTATGGATATGTTTGTATGTTAAATGTATCATAAACTATTCTAAAGTGATGTAGTACATGAGCTGATTTTGTTTTCTGCATAGTGTGTCCAACCTGGTCTCACTCAGAAGTCGCTGAATACTTGGTCAGTGACTTCTGGTGTCAGGCACCAACAAAAAAAGCCGTCCTTTTACATCAGCATGTTACGCAGCTGGTTGCCGTTGTTGTTTAACAGCACCTAGCGGTAGGTGGGAGGGGTGGTGGATGGGTCCAACAACCCCCGACTTTCACCTGAGAGGCCGGTGTTCACTTCCTGTGAGATTGTAAAACCAAACCCTGTTCTTTTGTCCTAAACCCAACCACGTGTGTGTTGTTGAAGGAAAAAACATCAGTTGGTGGAGTTGTACTGATGTAGTGCTTTTATTTTGAAAGAGACTGTATGCAAACTGTACTTTTCCTGTGAAAACAGAAGTGTATTTTGAAAACAGACAATGCATGTAACAGGCTGAAATTGACACAGCGTCCCAGAACGTCAACAACCAACACACCCAGGGTACCTTGGACGTCATATGTGGACGTGGAAAGTCCATGACCAAACGTGGACATGTGACGAGGTCACAGTGAGGATGATGTTGCTGTGTCACCTAGAAGAGGCACCTGCTAGGTTCCAGACCACTGTTCAAGACCAACAACCTGGCAGGTTTTTCCATGACCCTTGACTGTGTTTCCAGTCGGGACAGTGACACACCTTATCCCACAACCCAATCTCCAGAAATACCGTTGCCAATCTAAGTTTCTGTCAACCCCAACTTTGTTACATTTGCACGTTATTATGCAGCCTTTACATTTCCTAACATGATAACTACATTTCAGTAATGCTGTGGTTAACGTGTGGTTATGTTTAGGCACAGAAACCACTTTGGTTTGGTTATGGTTTGGAAAGGATCATGTTTTGGCTTAAGATACCTGGTAAAAGCACCTGTCCTGGAAAAACAGCGACGGGTTTCTGTATCACAACCTTTTTGTCTATATATTTCTGTTGGTGATGAACAGCGGTCTGCAGCTTGACAGGCGTTTTGCATAGGTCCGTGGTTCCCAACTGGTGGGTCAAGGTTCAAAAGTGGGTCGTGGGTTCATTCTGAATGGACTTCAAGCGACTTGCAAACATGTCAAGATTGTAAAAACACTTTGTTTTTAAGTACAGCCAATTTCTGGCACAGAGCTTTAATAAATCACGAACTGACGGCTACTTGATAGAGACAGGAAACTAGCTCGAGGACACGGCCAAATGCAAGTATGATGCTGAATATACTACACTGTGTCATCAACCTTGAACTAATGACTGAGGAGAAATCTGGACCAGTTGGAACCCACTGCTCAAGGTATCACACCAACCACCACCTCCTGATGACCAACTGTGCGCTCCAATCCCCATACTAACACACTATGGCTCAAAATAAAGTTCAATAATAAAAATAACCCTGTTCATATTATCCGTTAGGTTACAGTGAGAAATTAACACGACTAAACTGAAGGTCCACAGAGATGACTGCAGCCTGGGTTTATTCCCGTCTCTGGCCTGCAGGGGGCGCAAATGTACTGCAGTTTATATTCAACTGTGGCGCATTTAACATGGAAATACTGTACAGGTCTGCAGCTCCTTAAATGTCTTACAGTGTCTTCAGTTTAACCCCTTGAAACCTGGAGTAACATCACTTATCCTCCGCTGCTTTCAGATGTCTTTCTCACTGGTGCGATTTCTTACAAGAACATGGGGAAAAGGCAATGAGCAACTTGGTAAGACCTGTCCCACAGAATAAAAATAAAGATAAAAACTAAAAATAAAAAAAACTGTAATTAAATAAATTTAGAATATTATCTTAAAAAATAGGCAAAAAAAGAAAAATGCTAGGGAAAAATCAAATTATCATAGATATTATGTTCAAACAGAATTATTATAAAAAACATTTTAAATTATGGTACAGAAATTTTATTCTTTTAAGCACTTTTAGGCCATTTCCTTGTTTGTTTTTTATAAACTTTCTTTCTTGTTTCAAACTACTTTTTTTTTAATTTCCCTTTTTACTAATCTTGTGCAAGATTTTTGGGTCTTCAGTCCTTGCTGACTGCTTTCTTCCCATGTTTGTGAAAGAAATAAAGCCAGTTTGCTGTCAGGCTTCAAAGGGTTAAATCAAGTATTTATTCATGTCTTATGCTGCACTGTAGCTTTCATTCTTGTATTTCATAGCTGTCTTCTTTTTCTTTTCTTTTCTTTAGCTCCTTAATGGCGTTATTTCATGTATTTAAACGTCCTTTAATAATGTCTTTCTTTTGCACTTTGTCTCGATGCTTCTGATGATTTATATCGAGCACTTTAAATTTTGCTTGTTGCCAAAATGTGCTGAATCAGTAAATCTGCCTCGCCATGTCTACAGCTGACAGATACATGTAGGAACAAAAACGCCCACAGGGTGTCGACAGGCTGCAGACACTTTTATTTACTGCCTTTTTTTTAAGAGCACATTTTAGACAGATAATCTTTTTGTCACAGAGGCACTGCAGGTGATAAAGGTCACATTTTCCTGTGCAGAGGGAGGTTTGATGTAGGAGTATGGTCATCACAGTGAGTTTGGGTCATCCACATTTAGCAGGTGAGACACGTAAAAAGACAGTTTAAGGTTCAGTGGAAGGTTTAAAGATTTGTATCATCAGAAACGTGACTTTAACTCAGAAGAGCTCGACTCATTTTGACCAAGAGGAATTTAATTAATTAAATATAATTAAATCAAATATTTGTCACAAACTCAAATTTAAGATTAAGACTAAGAATCTAATGAGTTTTTAATGTCTAGTATTTGTTAATAAAATGCAGATGTAAACATTAAAGTCTTCAGTCTTGATTTAAAATAAGTGAGAGTTGGTGCTGACCTGCAGATTCCTTCACTGCAGCCTGATGCGCAGACCTCCTGTCTGTCTCTGTGAGCTGATACCATTTCCCTCAGTGGAAACAAAGCTTTGATTTACTTTAATTTCACAGATAAGAAACAATAAATTGTGAAGACAATAAAGCCTCCACACACTGTGTGTGATTTATCCTGGCTGAAATATGAGCAGAGGAAATCTCTGCTGGCTGCTAGGCTAATTTATACAATGTAAAATGCCATAGGCTTGTGCTAATAACGTTAGCATGTTGTATTTGTGGGGAAAATGTGTCCAGATAAAGACAAGTGTTTGTCTGTGAATGCTGCGAGTTATAGTGAAGCTGATTTGTGTTTGGAACTGTCTCTATTAAGCCATGTTTAATGTGTGTTTAATGTGTGTTTACTGTGTGTTTAATGTGTGTTTAATGTGTGTGTAATGTGTGTTTAATGTGTGTTTACTGTGTTTAATGTGTGTTTAATGTGTGTGTAATGTGTGTTTAATGTGTGTTTACTGTGTTTAATGTGTGTTTAACGTGTGTGTAATGTGTGTTTAATGTGTGTTTACTGTGTTTAATGTGTGTTTAACGTGTGTGTAATGTGTGTTTAATGTGTGTTTACTGTGTGTTTTGAATCGACTTTACAGCACTTCACAGAAACTCTGTCGCCATCTAGTGTTTGAAGGTGTAACTGCAGAGTGACACAGACACACCACCACACAAGTATAAATGCTCACACTGGTGGAGGCTCCAGCATATGTCATGCTTTAGTCAACAGATTTTAGAATTAGTGTACAAAACTGAAGTTTAGAGTGTTTTAACTTTTCATCGTCCCGCCTGGATGAGTCATCTCAACTGAACATCCAAGAATAAACTCTGTAGGATTGTAGCTATAGCAGGTAAAATAGTTGGTAAGCTCTTGACCCAACTCTTTATGGGAAGGGTGAGGAAGAGTATCTTGGCAGAGAGTCCCCCCTTTAAGTGTTTTCTTATGGCTTTATATGTTTGTTTTACTATTTGTCTGCTTTTTACTAAGTTGTCTTTGTGTCTGGTGAGCTGAAGACACATTTGCATCTCTGGTGCACCATAGACATCTCCTGAGACCTGAGAGTACTGACTATATATATTGAATATATTGAGACGGAGGAGAACGGGACAGATGCACACAAACGCCTCCTCTGTGGTCACACGTGATTCATGACATCACAGGAGGAAACAGTGTGGACCAATCACAAGGAGGTCAAAGGTCGGACACAACAATCATCGTAAAGACACAAACAAAAACTTGTTTTATGGTTCATTTTAACTGTGTGTGTGTGTGTGTGTGTGTGTGTGTGTGTTTCCTGAATCCTCCAGGTGTTTCCTGACCCCGCCCCCCTCTTGTTTTACGGACACACAGTCAGACACTCGTGATGTTTGACTCTGACTGAACACACACACACACAGAAGCTGAGCTGATGAGTACTTATTTACACACACACACACACACACACACACACACACACACAGACGCAGAGGTGAATGTGTGAACGTTATCATAAACTAACAGTCTGATGAAACAGTCCTGCAGTGAAACATTCAGTTTGTGTCACAGTTTGTGCTGCTGCTGCATTAATGTTTCTGATACTGACTCTACTGTCATTGGTGTAAACCTGGTACATTTATACACGTGTGTTTACATTTATCCAATATTAGAACTTTGCTGAATCATCTGTCAGCAGCTCCTGTTTACAACGTGTTCATGGGTGTTCACACAGCTGTCACTAAATCACTTTGAAACTGGAGAAATCTTTAAAACATGATTTTTCTCAATGAAGTTCTGCAGCGTCTTTTTTCTATGATTTCTGAGTGGATTAATGGAGATTAATTCTTGATGAACATAATAATAATAAGATCCTGGGAAAGTGTCAGTCACACTAAATCTAAATATATATATGTGTCATGTGTGTGTGTTTATAATTCACTGAGTTATGGAGGTCCAAACACGCCAACAGAAAGCTTCTGTGTACTTCATTAGTCCTGTAGAACCTTTTAGCTGCTCTGTCGTGTTCTCGCGTGAAACACAGACTGCTCTTTTAACATCCTGTGTGCGCGTGTCCCCGGTCCCAGTGCAACGTCACCCGGGGACGAAATGGCGACAAAGATCGTCTGTGTTTGAGAAGATGATCCACTACACCAGAATACAAAAAGTTGCTCCTGCTCAATGATTATTAATATGTGGATACTGATGAGTGATTAATAACAGTACAGAGAGTAATTCACAGTGGTGACATGTAAGTAAGTACTTTTTCCTCAAATACTGTACTTAAGTACATACTGGTAGTACTTTATTTGAATATTGCCATTTATACTACTTTATATTTTAACTCCACTACATTTTTAGGCCAATATTACGGTGGCCCTGAGGTCAAAACATGACAATTTGTAACACACAATATTTCAGAAAACATGACAATTAATTAAAAAACTATAACATTTCCCAAAACACTACAACATTTGTAACAAGTGTTTTGTGACATGTAGGTTTTTTTTTTTGTTTGTTTGTTTTTAAAATATATATATATATCTTGTTGGTTTTTGTGAAATGTTGTTTTCTAAAATGTTGTTGTGTCTGTGAAATGTAGTTCTCTAAAAAATATTGTTGCTTTTTTGTAAAATGTAGTTTTCTAAAATATTGTTGTTTTTGTGAAATGTAGTTTTCTATAATATTGTTGTTTTTGTGAAATGTAGTTCACTAAAAATATTGTTGCTTTTTTGAAATGTAGTTTTCTAAAATATTGTTGTTTTTTGTAAAATGTAGTTTTCTAAAAATTTTGTTGTTTTTTTGCTAAATGTAGTTATCTAAAATTTTGTTGATTTTTGCTAAATGTAGTTTTCTAAAATGTTGTTATTTTTTGCTAAATGTAGCTCTCTAAAATATTGGGGTTTTTTTTTGCAAAATGTAGTTTTCTGAAATTTTGTTGTTTATTGCAAAATGTAGTTCTCTAAAATTTTGTTGTTTTTTGCTAAATGTAGTTCTCTAAAATTTGGGGTTTTTGTGAAATGTAGTTTTCTAAAATTTGGGGGGGTTTTGTGAAATGTAGTTCTCTAAAATATTGTTGTTTTTGTGAAATGTAGTTCTCTAAAATTTGGGGTTTTTGTGAAATGTAGTTCTCTAAAATTTTGGGTTTTTTGTGAAATGTAGTTTTCTAAAATTTGGGTTTTTTGTGAAATGTAGTTCTCTAAAATTTTGGGTTTTTGTGAAATGTAGTTCTCTAAAATGTTGTTTTTGTGAAATGTAGTTCTCTAAAATTTTGCTGTTTTTGTGAAATTTAGTTCTCTAAAATATTGTTGTTTTTTGTAAAATGTAGTTTTCTGAAATTTTGTTGTTTTTTGCAAAATGTAGTTCTCTAAAATTTTGTTGTTTTTTGCTGAATGTAGTTCTCTAAAATATTGTTGTTTTTGTGAAATGTAGTTCTCTAAAATTTTGGATTTTTGTGAAATGTAGTTTTCTAAAATTTGGGTTTTTTTTTGTGAAATGTAGTTTTCTAAAATGTTGGGGTTTTTTTGTGAAATGTAGTTCTCTAAAACATTGTTATTTTTGTGAAATGTAGTTCTCTAAAATTTTGTTGTTTTTTGTGAAATGTAGTTCTCTAAAATATTGTTGTTTTTGTGAAATGTAGTTCTCTAAAATTTTGTTTTTTTTGTGAAATGTAGTTTCCAAAAATTTTGTTTTTTGCAAAATGTAGTTTGTCTAAAATTTGGGGTTTTTCTGGCGAAATGTAGTTCTCTAAAATTTTGTTGTTTTTGTGAAATGTAGTTCTCTAAAATTTTGTTATTTTTTGCTAAATGTAGCTCTCTACAATATTGTTGTTTTTTGTAAAATGTAGTTTTCTGAAATTTTGTTGTTTTTTTTGCTAAATGTAGTTCTCTACAATTTTGTTGTTTTTGTGAAATGTAGTTCTTTACAATTTTGGTGTTTTGTGAAATGTAGTTCTACAATTTTGTTGTTTTCGTGAAATGTAGTTCTCTAAAATTTTGGGTTTTTGTGAAATGTAGTTTTCTAAAATTTGAGGTTTTTTTGTGAAATGTAGTTCTCTAAAATTCTGGGTTTTTGTGAAATGTAGTTCTCTAAAATTTTGGGTTTTTTGTGAAATGTAGTTTTCTAAATTTTTTTTTGTGAAATATAGTTCTTTAAAATTTTGTTGTTTTTTGTGAAATGTAGTTCTCTAAAATATTGTTGTTTTTGTGAAATGTAGTTCTCTAAAATTTTGTTTTTTTTTTTGTGAAATGTAGTTTCCAAAAATTTTGTTTTTTGCAAAATGTAGTTTGTCTAAAATTTTGGGTTTTTCTGGCGAAATGTAGTTCTCTAAAATTTTGTTGTTTTTGTGAAATGTAGTTCTCTAAAATATTGTTTTTTGAAAAACGTAGTTTTCTAAAATTTTGTTGATTTTTTGGTAAATGTAGTTTTCTAAAATTTTGTTGATTTTTGCTAAATGTAGTTTTCCAAAATGTTGTTATTTTTTGCTAAATGTAGCTCTCTAAAATATTGTTGTTTTTTTATAAAATGTAGTTTTCTGAAATTTTGTTGTTTTTTGCAAAATGTAGTTTTCTGAAATTTTGTTGTTTTTTGCTAAATGTAGCTCTCTACAATTTTGTTGTTTTTGTGAAATGTAGTTTCCAAAAATGTTGTCCTTTTTACAGCACTACATTTAATTTATAGATTTAGTTACTTTTCAGATTCAGATTATTAATACAAAATTTGAATCAAGTAATATAGTGTAATAGTAAAGTTAATATTTGTGCAGTTTAACTTCAGCGACACTGTAACTGAGTATTTCTACACACCGGTGTTTTTTATCTATAATAACCCAGGTGGACAAAGCGACCTGGCCCAGAATCGGCCTGAACTCGGCATGCTGGATGAAATCAGCTGGTCCGATTCCGGATGCCGACACTGCCGTCACCGGGACGTCCTGTGACGCAGAGAGTTTGGGTGTCGGTAAATGAGTCGGAGTGAGACCTCTGTCTGTCTGAGTGTGTGAGGAGGCGGCGGAGCTCGGCGCGGGGCAGGGCGGGGCGGAGCGGCGCGGGTCCCGGGGCTCACGGCTCACTGGCTCGCGCCCTCCTCTGCTCCTGCGCTCCTCCGTCACGGGAGCGCGCCCGCACTCACAGACGCGCACACCCGCCGCGCGGCCAGGCCACCGGCCAGCCTCTCCGCCTCTCTCCCCCTCTCTGTCTCCTCTTTCCTTTTCCTTTCTCACAAACTCGGTCAAACTTTCCGGTCACACCCGGTCTACCGTTAAACTCCCCCCGCGTCCCCCCGAACCGGAGCAGGAGCAGCGGCCACCGGGCCGGACAAAGTACCGGATTACCGAGTTTGAGCGACGGAGCCGGACCTGCCGTGATTCACCGCCCCGCAGCGGGCCTCAACTTTCCTTCATTTTGTTTCTCCTCTTCCCTCCGTTTACCGACGGTCACCAGCAACGGGCGGTGACGTCAGCCCCGGGGAAAGTGGTGAATCGGCCGCCGTTACACCGGAGGACACGATATTGGTGAGTGTTTTAACTTTTCTTTGACGCGCGCGCGTGCGTGTGTGCATGTGTGTGTGAGTGCGACACAGCAGCGCCCCCACCCAACTTTGTGACTCTCACACTGTGTGTGTGTGTGTGTGTGTGTGTGTGTGTGTGTCCCGGTACCGACAGGCCCGGGCCAGGAGCAGGACCACGGCTGATCACCGGCTGAACTCTGTGACCCGCCGCTTCTTTGTTTGTTTGTTTGTTTGTTTGTGAACGGAGAGATGGGGGCTGTGTGAACGGATCAGCGCGTGGCTTCCACGAGACTCACCGTTTCCTCCGGTCCGGTAGAGGTGAGTCATCATCCCGGTAATATCACCGGAACATGACGTTATTAGTGTTTAATGAGTCGTGCTGCAGGAGTTTATACTTTAAAACACACTTTAATATCACAAAATGAGATTTAATTGATGTTAATGAACTTCAGCTCAGTGTTTAATTCAAACTTTGTTTATTTCACATTAATCTGTTGTTTATTTACCTGTGAAATCATCTAATAAACAAACTGTACTGTCGTTGTAAACAAAGTTACAGCAGGACAACAATAAACTAATTAAACCAACATCATGAATTAAACATTTAAACACACAAAACACATCAGATAAAAACAAATTACACATTAAAGTGACAAAAGTTTTGATATTAAAGAGTTAAATGAAATGAAAACATTAAAAAACACTGAATATGTTAAATAATTATGATAAAGGACAAAATGTACCTTAAAGATCTGCTGCAGCAGCGTCAGGCTCTGAGCTGTACAACAGGTGAGGTTATTATGAGGAGGGTTAGTTTTAGTTTTCGATTAGTTGTCAATTAATAAATCAATCACCAACTACATGTGATTAATGATGAGCTGGTGTGTACGGGAGCATGTTGATGTCACGCCTGAAGGAAAACTGATCAGTATCAGGTGAGAACATGAAAAGTGTCTCATTCCAACAAGATGTTTTCATGTCAGGACAAAAAACTTTTCTTTTTATGACAGGAAGGAAAGAAAACATTAAATATTTGAATTTAAGAATCACAGAATTTTGACTTTTAAAAAGTGACAGTAGTGTAGATGTTTTCACATTATAACAAGATTTAGTAAATTTTTAATAAGCGTATTTATTTTCCTTTTTTTTTTTTTTACAAGAAAAGTTTCATGTCCTAATATGACAATATCCTGTAAACACATGAAACATCTTGTTATTACCTGAAACATTTGTTTGTTTGTTTGTTTGTTTTCCTCGCCTAGCAGACAGTTCCACTCTTACATCAGTTTGAATGTTTTTTTTAATAGATAAAAGTTTAAAGTCTGATTCCAGCTTCTTAAATGTGAATATTCACTGGTGTCTATAACAAGATAAATAATTATGTTTTTAATAAGTATATTTATTTTTTTTGTACAAGAAACGTTTCTTGTCATAACATGAAAATATCTTGTGAAAACATGAAAAATATTTTGTAAAAAAGGTATAAAAAAATCCCCGTCTTGTTGGAACGAGAAACTTTTCATGTTCTTACGATTCCACGTTGGCGATTAATTTATTTCTAGAAAAAAAAAGTAAAAAAAAAAAAAACCCCAGTAAATATTCAAATTTCAGACGTCGCAATCACAAAACTTTTATCTCTTAAAAAAATATTCAAATCGATCGAAGCCTAAAAACAACCCAAGATCAATAACAGGAAGTGTCATGAAAGTTTTTTCGTTATAACAAGATATTTGTCATGTACAAGAAACAAGAAACTTTTCTTGGTAAAAGCGTATGTGTACTTATTTCTCTTGCCATAATGTGAACGTCTTATTGTCATTAGAAAAATGTCTTGTAAAAACAAGAAAAACTTCTTGTTATATTAAGAAACTTTTCATGTTATTACTTGAAACTGATCATTTTGTCGTTGTTGTTGTTGTTGTTGTTGTTGTTGTTGTTGTTTTCTGGCCTGGCAGTTCTATTTTTATGAGGAAAAAGTTAAATATTTGTGATTCCAGCTTCTTAAATGTGATTATTTTTAGGGGTGGGGAAAATCAATACAGCAAAGTATTGTGATATTTGTGTGTGACAATATCAAATAGTCACACAGTGCTGCTAAGTATCCTTTTTTTTAATAATATAAATTATTTCTATCACAATTATAAATGAAACTCAAGGCAGCCTACTTGAATAATGAATCAGTTGCTGTTTCAGTTCACCAGATACATTTTGCTGAGATGACCACATCATGTTAGATAAAACAGACGTTTATAAAGTTTTCTGTTCGGGACGTAATTTACAGTTGAAGATTTAAAATCACAATAATATCATATCGTGGATCCTTTCGTATGTTCTGGTTTCTTTCCTCCTCTGTGACAGTAAACAAATTATTTTTGGACAAATTAAGACATTTAAGGACGTCTTTTTGGACTCTGGGAAACACTGATCGACATTTATGCTGTTTTCTGACATTTAATAATCGACAGATTAAACAAAAATGAAAATAATCATTAGTTACAGCCTTTAGTTTTGTTCACCTGCAGTTTAATGAAGGTTTCACAGAGATAATTACATGTTTTCTTTCAGTTTGTTTTAGTGTCGTCAAAAGTTTTAATTCATTTCAATTTCTGAACATTTGAAAGTTTCAGTACTTACTATCCGCAGCATCAATGCATCAGTACCAGCTGCTCCTTCTCTCTTATTGTTAATATTTCCCACGGATCAAGAAATGAAAAGTAATTTTCATATTTATCATTTATTTAAAAAAATTCAATTGTATGCCCTCAATGCCAGTTTTACCGGTAGTATCTAACATAGTATTAAATGTCAGTACTTTAATGTACTGTGTACATCAGTTAGAAATTTCAATACCATGACAAAGACTCAGTTTACCCCCAAAATAAAAAAATACACCCAAAAACATAATATCTCTCCTCTCTCCATCGATCCATTATGACTTTGTCCTGCTTTGAGATCAGGAATTCAACTTATAATTAATAATTCTAGACGGGCATCAGAGATGTCCTCTGTAGGTGTAACGCTGGCCTGATACCAAACAACTTTTCAAGCAGTAGAGCCGCCGCAAAGTCCCGACATTACACAGCTTTTATATTTTATGCAGGCAGCATTGTGTCGCTCCAGTGTGTGATGTCAGACAGCATGATGACATCACAGAATCAAAAGAGGCACAACATGTGACACAATGACATCACATGTCAATAACAATCATTTAGCGTCCCTCTTACATGGGACTGACTGCTGTTCTGCTTCTTTGAGTTAGCTGCTAACTGCTAGCAGCTGCTTTTTAAATCTTTGGGAGGGTCGCACAAGTAACACGTCGTCAAAATGTACAGACCGGCGAGGTGTCGCCAAATATCCGCCGAGGTGCAGCCAAATATCCAGTGTCAGAATGAACTTCTGAGTTTTACCACAGTTGTGACACTGCCATGATCTGGATCATTTGGTGTCAGGTGGTTATAAAACTGAGCTGTCATGAGTCAGTCTTTTTCTCCTCTTGACGTTCCGATAAAATCAAACGTTAAATATTATTGCAAGTAATTAGGCGTGGCTCAAATACTATAGTTCAACTACGTGAACATCAACAACTAATTGCTGTGCTCTCTCTGGCACCAAACAGGAAGTAGCAAACCAGGTAGACAGTAAACATGGAGGGGACGTGAACAAGTCTTGATCCTCTTGTTCTGTGGGAAGGGAGAGAAACTGTAGGAGCTGTGGAGAGAACTGATCCTCCGACCAGCACTGATTTTAGTGAGAAATCTTAATTGTTGAAGCCTCTCATTCTCACAGTCTCCTCCCACTGGAACAGCCCAGCTAACCAACGGAGGCTGGTAGAGAGTTGAGGCAATCAAACCCCAAAATATAAAGTTTGTATCAAATACAGCTTATCTTTATGGATTATATTGATGCCGAATTGACAAGAATACTGTCGACATGTGACGCCTTTAATCTCATGTTTCTACAGTTATGTGTTTTTGTGGAAACGTAAGGAATTGTTTAAATGTTGTATTTGTTAAAGGGAGTTTGGTGTAGTATTTTCCAGCAGGAGCAGGGTGGAGAGTAATCTCAGAAGGGTTGTAGTTGTCTTGAAAATATTGATGCTCAAAGAGTCTTAATAAGATGTTACTTAAAAGTCTTTAGTGCACAGTTGGCACGAGTCTCACTGAATGACATCATTATGTGTCGAGGGGCCGGGGTTATTGTCATGTAGGAACAGGAAGTGGGCGAACACAAACTGCTGTCTAAAGCTAAAGCATTTATTGTCAGTGGCATTAAAGGGACAGACCAGGAAAAATGACCAGAGGTACGGAGGGCGTCCACATATTTTTGGCCATATAGTGTTGGACAGATTGATCTGCAGAGAGACTGAACCTCTGCACACTGTTCATGTCTCTCTGTGGCTAAAGTTAGCCTGAGTGGCTAAAGCAGCTCTCAGCAGGAATCTCAGCTATGTGTGTGTGTGTGTGTGTGTGTGTGTGTATTTTTAGCTGCATGTTGTTTGGATTCTGCTCTGATGTTATTAAGCAATACCACAGAACTGATATCAGGGCTGAAAGAATCTGATCCTTCACACTGATCCATTACAGAGTCATAAATTCTGGACCAATCAGAGCCTCGCCCTCATCCACGACCCGCGTGATGTCATTGTGAAGAAAGAGCTTGGGCTGGGTGTCCAGGAACTGGAATGTAAACAAGCAAAGGTGTTTGTCTTTGTCAGCCAGAGAACGTAGAAAGTCTCCCACCTGTTAGCGCTCTGGCTAGTGCTTCTCAATGGAAACATGAGTTAGCATCCAGCTCTAGCATTTAGCTTAGTTAGCCCAAATTCATTCTGATATTCAGGTTGGTTTTGGAACGTTGTTCTTGTCAGAATCGACTAGTAGCAAAGTTTCGCTGTTCTATTTTGTTGTGAAAATGTGGGCGTGCAGCCTCGTTCTGTGGACGATAAACCAGGTGCAGACTTCCATCTGTGTCACCGCTGATGAGGAAATACAGCGAGTGCTGGACGGAGCAGTGAGTGACAACGACCCCGCCCACATTTAAGAGGACTGTCTGAACACACCGAGGGTCTAGGTACCATGTCTGAAGGCTTACTGCTGGTTCCAAAGAAGGTACTGGACTGAAAGGGTTTGGTGGAGACGGGGCTTATGTATGCCGCAGGTTAAACACGCAACAACCTCTTGGGGCGCCACTCTCTGACCAGTAAATTCTATGTCCTGTGAAGTAAAGTGCCTGTCTTTGTGAATGGAGTCTGTCGGCTTTGAGATGACGGCAACGTAAAGTGGTGAAAAGACTCTAAATATAGCGTACGCTTTTTTTCGTAG